CCCCAAAACCCCAAAACCCCAAAACCCCAAAACCCCAAAACCCCATAGCTAGGCTATAGGATTGAGCGTAAATTTAATAATAAGAACCAAAAAATCCTAAATACCGTCGATGTTTATAGCTCTGAGGCTATTATCTTTGGAGGCATAACCACTTCCTGGGGTACTTTTCAAGATCTTCATGGTGTCTTTTCTTCCTGAATTCATGCTATCTTGTGGGGGAGTACCATAATACACTTGCTCCAGCTGGTTAATTTCCAAGTTTGGCATGTTACGGTCTGAGTCTGAACCCTTCTTTAATTCTATGATTATAGTAAGAACTTGATTTTTAAAGCCTTACCTTCTAGTGATTGTGATACTAACTTATTAGCATTCTTCGGGCTAACTACTTTTGTTTCATTCTTGTCTATTGATTCTTTCCTGAATATTCCTAAGAAATATAAAACTGCGATAAGGCTTTAATTACCGTTGATAATTCTCAAGTCTACATCATCAAGATCCTTATTCCTAAAAGCCTGAATTATCTGAGTTATATCTTCGTGCTCTTTGGAGTGGTTTCTGCTTTGGTAGCCATCATAGCCCTTCTTTCCATTCTTGTTTTCTATGTTATAAATTAAGATTGCTTATTATAAGTTATTAACTTACCTTGAATAACATTCTTTTCATCATCAGAACTGCCAGAAGATGCACTGGGAATAATGTTTTGACGCTGATACTTGATCAAGAACTTCTGCTCCCTACTCAGCAGAACCTGGGTTAAAATCTTCAGCTGTTTGATAGCTTTAATAAGAGTGACACAATCAAGCTCTCGTGCTAACTTATCCTTTCCGACATTAAAGTACGCATGACGTCGCAGTTCAGGTCTTCTTCTGATCTTCTTGTCCCCTTTTCAAGAAACTCAGCACATGAAGTGTTGGAATATTGAATAATATCCATAAGTAAATGGCCTTCTTTCTTTCATACTTTTTTCTCATTTTTCAAGTAACTTGTTTCTTTCAGTATTATTCCACTCTGGATCTTCTCCCATCTCTTGCTTACAAGTCTCGAGATTATCTCTGAACTTCAAAGCTTTGGAATCAGCCATACTTGAAGGAGAATCCTTTGAGTAAAGATCCTTTTGCTATAATATTAATTAAATTTTTTACTTCGATAGGGTTCACCTTTGTTTTTCCAGTCAAGTGCTCCTTCTCAACGTTTGTATCGATTTTATAGATCCGCCCTAGCAAAGCTGCCACATAGAGTTTGTCGGCAAAGACTGTGATAAAGAATGATCCAATAGTAAGTAAAGAGCCATAGAAGCCTCCAGCCAGTCCCATGAGTTCGCCAAGTGAAAATATTTTCCTTCCATATTCACTTGTGGCTTTGTCAACTCGGAAATAAATAGAGAGGACGTCTCCTGATGAAGACTCAGCTTCAAATCTGTCCTTGGTGTCGATTACTTGGTAGAAGTCTTTCTGACTTTCAAATCCTAGTTGGAAGTATTCGTCTTCGAAGTTGCCAACATTGTAACGAATAAATAAGTCACTCTTCTTTCTGAACCCTGCAGTCAACTCCCAGTAATTCCCGTCATCGATGATTTGCTCGATCGGGTCTCCATAGTTGTCGAAGTTCACCAGAGAGTTAACCAGCGCCAGACTGAATCTGGAGTCCGCCATGATGGTGTTGATGGCTGCGTCCGTCTTGCACGAAGCGCTGCCAGTGCACTTCTTGACTTTGAGTTCCAGGTAGTGGAACGACTTAGCGTAGAACGAACCTGCCACTGAGTAGTTGTCCGAAGTCGGTCAGTAGAAGTCATCGATGCCGATCCTCTGGACTTCTGCGACATTGTCATAGTTGAAGTTGGTGGTTCCTCACTTCTCGAAAGTCAGAGGAGTCTTGGTCCTGGTGAAGGAAGCGTCCTGGCTTGTGCTGTCCCACTCCTGTACAACCTGGTTGAGCTCGACTGTGAAAGCAGTGGTATCTTGAATGTAGTCAACTCCATTTGCAACCAGCGAAATCGCAAAGTCGAACTTGTTTTGTGCAGGCTTGTGCACTTTGACATCATTGAAGATGTCGTTGATGGAGCCAGTAGTGGCCACACTGGTATCTTGCTTGTAGAACATGATGTAGAACAAGTAGACCACATAGGTGATGATGATGCTTCCGACAAACAGAGAGGAGACACCACCAATGTAAGTACGGTATTTATCATCACCATCATAGGTGAGGGAGATGTCTTTACCGTACATATCAATAGACTTGATTTTATCAAACAGTTTTGTCATTAAACTTTTCTTTGTTGAAACTCTTTCTGGCATTTCTAATATTAATAATTTATTATTTTCTCTACCAACCCATAATATATTTTACGGGGTTTTGGGGTTTTGGGGTTTTGGGGTTTTGGGG